GGCCAGTCTGGGCTACCTGACAAGGCCCTATCTCAAAGATAAAGACTTCGGGCGGGGCAAGGAAGTCAGGTCGGATGACTGTGGTCTGAGAGGTGACTGACCTGGAGTCCTATCTGCCTTAAGCCTCGTCCTGACCGTTTGCATCTCTCAGTCCCGGGCGAATGCCAGAGCCATCCATGGGCTGAGGAAGCAACTGGTGTGGGTGAGTGTGCGTGGCACTGCGGCCATACCCTTGAGGAGTGTGTATCTAGCTACTCTGAAGGACCAACCGAGCTGAGAGGGTGGGTTTCTTTCTTCCTTGTGGTGTGTGTACCTCCAGGTTAGGAAGGAACCTGTGGCTCCTATGACAGGCTTGGAGGCGTGGCCTTGGGTTGAAGTGAAGCCTTAGGTTATGGGCGTGGTCTGGGGAAGGGATGGGGAAATGGGAGTTGTTGGAGGCGGGGCCATGGTGCTTCCTGGTCCCAGGTTAGGGGCGGGGCCTCTAGTGGCCTCCTGCTGCACTGAGAACAGATCCTGGCAGGGGTGTGGCCTCAGGTTGCGTTATGGGCGTGGCTTCTGGCTACAGCTTGTTTCTAACTAACATCTGCTCTCTTTCCCTGTAGCAGGTCCAGGAGAAGTGGCACCTGGTGGACGACCTGTCGCGGTTACTGCCAGAGCTGACCCCAGAGCCTGAGTCCCCTCACTCTCGAGCTTCGCGTCCACGATCCTTCTGCCCCGGATTCCCATGCCCAGGCTCGCCCGGCCCCAGGACACCCCGGCTGGGACCCTCCAACAGGCTGAGCTCTTCGAGCCTCCGAGCCCCCAGGGCTTCGGTTCCCGCCTCCAGATTTCACTTCCCCAGCCGCACAGAGCTGTAGCACCGACTCCACGTCCTTTGGCTCTGCCGCAGCTTCCTCCAGCGCCTCCTCCACTCCGAGCCCTTCCACCACCTCCTTATGCCCCCGATCTCTGCACCCCCATTCCACCCCCGAACCACTGCCTACAGACGGCTCCTGGACCTCTGGCAGGGTTCTCCAAAGTGAGCCACACCCTCAAGTCAGCAGGAAAAACATGAGAATTTCTACCTCTGTTTTATTTTATCTCATTCCTTCAATTTTTTTTATTGAGTGTTCTTTTTTTTTGTTTTTTTTTTTTTGTTTTTCGAGACAGGGTTTCTCTGTGTAGCCCTGGCTGTCCTGGAACTCACTCTGTAGACCAGGCTGGCCTCGAACTCAGAAATCAAGTGCTGGGATTAAAGGCGTGCACCACCACCGCCCGGCTTGAGTGTTCTATAGTGTACATAACAGTAATAGTATAAACGCATGGATGCAATTTATAAATATATATATATTTTTGGAAACACTGGAATTTCTTAGAGTTGTTCTCAGAAACGTTTGTATGTTTCTCTCCATGAGGCTGCAAGAGCTGGTCTGGAACAAACCCACACTTCTGTGTCGACTGGGGCTCCAAAGGAACACTAAACCAGGGTGGAGCTCGGAAGCCACTCCAGATCCTAAGAATGGCTTCCTGAAATTCGGTGATGTCTGGGTCCCTTGGGAAAAGCAGATCAGGGCCCATGGCTAGTGTGTGTGTGTGTGTGTGTGTGTGTGTGTGTGTTTGTTTGTTTGTTTTTGTTTCTTTTTTTGTTTGTTTGGGTTTTTTTTGTTTGTTTTTTTGTTTGGTTTTTAAGAGACAAGGTTTTTCTGTGTAGTCCTGGCTGTCCTGGAATTCACTCTGTAGACCAGGCTGGCCTCGAACTCAGAAATCCGCCTGCCTCTGCCTCCCAAGTGCTGTGATTAAAGGCGTGTGCCACCCTCCCTCCCCGGCTATGCTATTGTGTTTTATAAAAAGAAAGAGAGACCAGGTATATGTTTGGTGGAGGCGCGGTATGGTGTGGGGAAGGGGGTGCCTCTGCGGGCCCATAGTGAGGCATCCCTTCCTCCTGAGGTACCAGCCACACTATGATATAGTATAGAACAGAGTTTAGTTTATTCAGTGCATGGGGAGGGGAGTTGAAGAGGTAGTAGAGACAGAGAAAGGAAGAGAGACAGAGAGAAGAGTAGTAGAGGCCAGCCATGAGCACGTGGAGAGAGGGGAGAGGGTAATGGAGAGAGAAGGAGAGCAGGAACAGGAAGAGAGAGCAAGAAAGAAAGTGAAGAGGGGGCGAGCAGCCCCTTTTATAGTGAGTCAGGCACGCCTGGCTGTTGCCAGGTAACTGTGGGGCGGAGCCTAGACTAAATGCTAACAGTGGCCACACATCTGCAGAACATTGTTCTCTCAACCTTCCCTGGGAGTACACTGAGCCTCTGAGGGGTGAAAGTTCACACCCTGCCAGGCTTTCAGTGTCAGGTACAGGCCTGCACTCTGAGACTTGTGGAGGGTATGCTGTGGGAGGGGGTATGTTCATGGGGCTGCAAAGGCAGGGCAGGGTGCAGCCTGCAGAGCTGGGCCTGGGGTTCCTTTCCTCCCTCCCACCCTCCATGAAGTTTGCTTTGAAGTTCCAAGCTGTAGTGGCTTTGACCCCACTGCTTGGAAGGCCCTTTATAAAGTTCTAAAGCTAACAGATTCCTACTGATTTTGAGGTTGGTCTGGTTGTAGCCAGCAGCCTGGGAACAATTTCTGTTTCTCTTTTGGTCTTTGTTTTTTTTTTGGGGGGGGGAGTTGTTTGGTTGGTTGGTTTGGTTTTGGTTTCTTTGTTGTGTGTTGAGTTTTGAGACAGGGTCTCTCTACATAGTCCTGGCTGTCCTGGTACTCACTGTGCAGACCAGGTCTGCTTCAAACTCACAGACATCCTCCTGCCTCTGCCTCTCAAGTTCAGAATTATAGTTTTCCTCCCAGCTCCATGAGGAGTTACAGGCCAGCCAGGGCACAGGGTAGAACTTGTATTAAATATACCAAAAAAAATGACAAGCTACGGTGGCATACCCTTTTAATCTCAGCACTCTGGAGGCACTCTGGATAGGTGAGTCTCTGTAGGTTCAAATTCAGCCTGGTCTATTTAGTGAGTTCTGGGACAGCTTACAAAGTACCTCAAACAAACAAACAAAAAATTAAAAAATGATCTAATAACAACATTATCGTAAAACTAAACAAAACCGATGTAAAGTCGTGCTCAAAAGACCCATCCAGGAGAAGTGGGGGGGGGTGTTGAGATAGCCGCCAATCAAACAACAAGCCAGGCCCCCTGGGGACGGCACTTCCTAGTAGTGGTGGTCAGAGTCTGGGAGGCTGAAGCAGCATCTGTGGTGTATGCCACAGGACCTAGATGACAGGCACCAGCCCACTGTGAAATGATGAGTCTGCACTGCTCGCCCTACTAGGCTACTAGCCACTGCTAGGACCACATTAGCGAGACCTTGTTTCAAAAGTAAATAAATAGAGTTGGAGAGATGGCTCCCCAGCAAGAGCACCTTCAGAGGACCTGGGCTCAGCTCCCAGCGTTCACAAGTTGGCTCACAATCCTCTGTAACTCCAGTACCAGGGGGCCTAACACCTTCTTCTGACTGCCACGGGCACACACGTGGTGAACACATATGTATCCAGGCACACATGCATATTCATAAAATATAAATATTGTAAGTAAAAACAAAAACCTAATTCTTGGGGCTGGAGAGATGGCTCAGCAGTTAAGTGCACTGGCTGCTCTTTCAGAGGTCCTGAGTTCAATTACCAGCAACCATATGGTGGCTCACAGCCATCTACAATGGAGTCTGATACCCTCTTCTGGTGTGTCTGAAGACAGCGACAGTGTACTCATTATATACAAGAAATAAATAAAATAAGCTTTAAAAAAAAAAGAAACATTCATTTAAAAAAAATCTAATTCTTAAAGAACAGGAATTTTGTGGGGAACTAAGTTAAAATGTTCTCCCCTTCCCCCTAGTTCTTACTGGAGAAACTTAACAGAGCGGGTGTGGGCAGGGTGTACACTGCTGAGTGTCAGAGCTGGCTCCTTTGCTGGCTCTTCCCATGGCTTTTCCCTCTGTTCCTTGGCTGTGGGGCTACAGTGCAGACAGCTTCCTGATAGAACTCAGCCTCTGTAGATCCTCCAAGAGTGGCAAGAGGGGGCCATGCTAGAGTGACCTTCCTAAAGAACAGGGCTGGACCAAGGTCTGAGTGTAGTGGCCAGTCAGGCTCTCTAGAGCAACCACACATGACATGGGCTGTATGACCTGTCATCAGGAGGCCTCTGCTGTGAAGAAGGCAAGCGTCTCCTGAGCAGTCACCGAGCCACAGATTAGTCTGCAGGCCCAGACCTAGACTTGGGGGAAGAGTTCAGCCATGTGGGTGGGCAGATATGGGTGGCCTCCCCTGGGGTAGTATTGTCCAGTGCCATCTTACCTGCTTCTTCTGTTCTCTGCCCCTCAGACCATGTGGGTCTATCCCTGGGGTAGCCTTGAACTTGGAAGGAACGGGACTGTCCAGGCCACACCAATGTCGGTAGCATGATCCATTTTCCTTGTCCGGGTGAGGCTGGATCTAGGTCTTTAAGGGATGACCTTTCTCTGGTCTCCTTTAAGGACAAGACTAAAACATGGGGCTCCACACTCTCAGGTGACAGAGAGTCTCATCCCACCTGAGGTCTGATTTGGAGACAGACGGCTGGTATGTCATGCTCAGATGGACATGACAGGGACTAAAGCACCTCCCCTCCCAGCTCCTTAGCAGGAACTGATTCTCCAGGACTCCTTGATAAGAAGAGCTCTTGTGCCTTTAATCCCAGCAGAGGCAGAGGCAGGCGGATTTCTGAGTTCGAGGCCAGCCTGGTCTACAGAGTGAGTTCCAGGACAGCCAGGGCTACACAGAGAAACCTTGTCTCAAAAAACCAAAAGAAGAAGAAGAAGAAGAAGAAGAAGAAGAAGAAGAAGAAGAAGAAGAAGAGCTCTTGTGTTAACATTAGGCTCACATAGGTCCCCCAGGATAATTACCCATCCCAAACTCAGTAGGCACACACTTACTCCCTCCTCCCCCTGTAGGTAACAAGGGGGAGGACACAGATGCCCCTGGAACCAGCCCTGTGAGGTACTGGGGCCCCCAGAGAGCCACAACTGTCAAGTTATCTCCTAGCTGCAGGCAGCCACTCAAGGAGCATCCAGGGGCCTTAGGGTGGAGAGGCCAGACTAGGAAGCTTTTAACAGCCTGAGCAGCGCACAGCCCCACAGAAGCAGGATGCTCCTTCAGCTGCCCTTCTTTGCCATGCTGGGTGAGTCTCCCGCAGATACCGTGGGAAGGGCCTTGAGAGAGTAGGCTTAGGGAATAGAGTGTTAAGAGAGTCAGAGAGAGAGAGAGAGAGAGAGAGAGAGAGAGAGAGAGAGAGAGAGAAGAGAGAGAAGAGAGGCAGAGAGAGAGGAGAGAGGCAGAGAGAGAGAGAGAAGAGAGGCAGAGAGAGAGAGAGGAGAGAGGCAGAGAGAGAGAGAGAGAGAGAGGGAGGGAGAGAGAGAGAGAGAGAAGAGAGGCAGAGAGAGAGAGAGGAGAGAGGCAGAGAGAGAGAGAGAGAAGAGAGGCAGAGAGAGAGAAGAGAGAGGCAGAGAGAGGCAGGCAGACAGACAGACAGACAGACTGACAGACAGACAAAGGCAGAAGCACCCTGGAAGCCAGAGGGAGAGAGAGACTGTGGGAGGGTCTGAGTAGGATGTTGACACTAGACAGCCTATGCATGTGTCACCTTGTTAGGGTATCAGCTGTCATCTGGATTCCACTGGTATATATAATATTGTGGTGTGTATGTGTGTATGGTGTGATGTGTGTGTATGTGGTATGGTGTATGTATATGTGTGTATGGTATGGTGTAGTGTGTGTGTGTGTGTGTGGGTGTGTGTGTGTGCATGGTGTGTGTGGTGTGATGTGTTCCTGTGTGTGTATATGTGTGTGTGGTATGTGTGTGGTATAGTGTGTGTGTGTGTGTGTGTGTCACTCAGGAAGTAGAGACAGGAAGATCATGAGATCAAGACCACCCTCAGGCACATATTGAGTTCAAAGCTGGCCTGGAACAGTAAGATACGATTAAAAACTCAAGATCAGAGATGTTAACTGGTCCCTGTGGCCTCACTGTCAGAAATCAGCCTGGGCAGGAAACTGTCTGGACAGTCTTCCTCCTCTACCCAGCTCCCCTTACCCCTCCCCTCTTTTACAGCTGCCTGTGGCTTCTCAGAGGAGCAGACAGGAGGTGAGTAGCCCCCACACTGCAAAAAGGATCTAGCTGGGGACACCTGGGTCACAGCTGCATACTGGTATTAGGTGCCTTGGGCTGGAAAGACATTACTGATGGTGAGGACAGGGTGTGAGAGGACCCAGAGGGATAATTCTGGCCTCCACCCCTACAGGGCAGGGTAGGCTGTTATGAAGTCTCTAGGTACACCAGAGGGGAGGAGTTTGGAGTGTGTGAGGAGGAGGGGTCCTCAGCAGCTGCAGTCACAGGGATCAGGTCCTTACAGGGAACAAAATTCACCTGCTCCAAGCCCCACAGCTCTGCCTGATGGGTAAGATTCAGAGAAGGCTGGGGAACTCTAGTGTGTGCTTCTGGGAAAGGAGGGCTTTGTGAGGGAGCTGGGGACCTGCACAGGACTTAGAGATTACACTGCTTTGTTCTGGAAGCAGCTGAGAGTGAGTGTTATCTATCTATCTATCTATCTATCTATCTATCTATCATCTATCTATCTATCATCTATCTATCTATCTATCTATCATCTATCCATCATTTATCTATCTATACATACATCTGTATAAATATATCACACACACACACACACACACACACACACATATATATATATATATATATATATATATATATATATTATAGATAGATCCCTCCTTCCATCCCTCTCTCTTTTCGTCTGCCTCTCCCTCCTTTCTCCTTCCCTCCCCTCCTCTCTCCTCCTTCCCTCCCCAGTAGCCCTGGTACAGAGCCAGGAGTCAAGGATTCAGGGACAGATCACAGCCTTGACCTATGCCATCCACGGCCTGCTCCGTCTTCCTCTCTCTCTCACCTCCTTCCCTCTAGATGGACCCCTCCCTTAGCCCTGGGCCGCATCTCCAGCTCCTGTGCCCCTTAAGGTGGAGGCAGGAAGTCTCCTCCCTGTCTCGCCATCCACCTTGCGTTCCGGGCATCCCCTTCTGTTCTGCTGAAGACTGGTGCTGACGCAGATCTCACTCGGATGAGGCACACACCAAACTACCATTTCCTCATTTTCTGTAAAAAAGAAAACGTTTGTTACTGTCACAGCTAAAAAAAGAGCTGGTGGCTGGGTCTCAGGAAAGTACCCAGGCAGAGGCGGTCCTGCCTTCCTGTCCTCTCAGCCCATGGCCACGGCTCTGCTAATGTAATTCTGCTACAGGTCTCTGAAAAGCTGGGTGATCCCTTGATCCCTCACAAACACTGGAGAATGGAGAATGGCTGTTAGCAATACAGGACTCCTCAGGATGAAAGCAAATACAGAAAGAAAACCCAAGCTTCCTGCAGGGCCAGAGAGAGTGGAGGGAGCACCCAGGCTGTTAGGAGTAGGAGGTATGATGGCTCACACCTACAGTCCCTGCACTAGGGAGACAGAAGCAGATGGATCTCTGTGAGTTTGAGGCCAGCCTGGTCCACATAGTGAGTTCCAGGACAGCCAGGGCTACACAGAGAAACCCTGTCTCGAAAAACATAAACAAGGGTTGGAGAGATGGCTCAGCAGTTAAGAGCACTGATTGCTCTTTTAGAGGTTCTGATTCAATGCCCAGCAACCATATGGTGGCTCACAACCATCTGTAATGTGATCTGATGCCCTCTTCTGGTGTGTCTGAAGACAGCGACAGTGTACTCACATACATTAAATAAATAAATAAATCTTTAAAACAAAACAAACAAACAACAACAACAACAAGAAACCCTGCAGCTGTCCCCTCCATGTGGAGAGAGCCCACCTTTGTTTTCCCTTCTGGGAGCAAACTGCTTTCTCAGTGCTTGCAGTCAGCACGTATGCAAACCAAGCTTCTATTCCAGGCCACTGAAATGAAAATGAGAGAGACTGGGTTTCTTTTCACTTTTACAAGTCAAGCTCATTGTCTTTCATGAAGGAAGGAGAAAAACGAACAAGCATAACCACAGTTTGGCCTTGAACTCATCTCCTCAGTGAGGCAGAGTCCAGCTCCAAACACTTCGTTTGGACCCCAAAGAGACCTGTTATCCCTAAAGATTAAGGTGGCAAAAGTCTTATCAGAAGTCTGCCACAGTGCCCAGAGAGAATCCAACTGTAGCATTAGGTCCACTATCTCAAATTGGAAATCTATTTTGATTAAAAAAAAAAAAAAACTCACAAAGAGGGGTACTTTAAAAAGTTTTCAAGCCGGGCGGTGGTGGCGCACGCCTTTAATCCCAGCACTTGGGAGGCAGAGGCAGGCGGATTTCTGAGTTCAAGGCCAGCCTGGTCTACAGAGTGAGTTCTAGGACAGCCAGGGCTACACAGAGAAACCTTGTCTCGAAAAACCAAAAAAAAAAAAAAAAAGAAAGAAAGGAAGGAAGGAAGGAAGGAAGGAAGAAAAAGAAAAGAAAAAAAAGTTTTCAAAAAGCTCTGGAAGAGGGCTCTGTTGGTGTTGGAGAGCACGGAGCTGGACAGGGATGGGCCATTCACTGCTGCGGGGTGTGGAGTGGGTCCCTGACCTCAGAACTCAGCTGCAATGCCAGCAGACACAAAGTTCCCCTGAAACACTCAGGAATTAGGATCTGAGAGAAAGTATGTATAGTAGCCAGACGCCTGGAGAGTCCCAGGAAGTGTCTGTAAGAGGCTGGGATGCCTCCTCCACAGGCAGCTTCTGACCAGGGGGACCAGTAGAGCAAAGGCAAATGTATACAGTCTGGGAGGTTAACTACCTTTTCCTCACCCCTTCCTCCTCCTCCTCTTCCTCCTCCTCCTCCTCCTCCTCCTCCTCCTCCTCCTCCTCCTCTTTATCTTCCCCTTTAAGACAGGGTTTCATCGTGTTTGTAATCTTGGTTGTCCTGGAATATATAGATCAGCTAGCCTTATACTCACAAAGATCTGCTTGCCTCTGTCTCCCAAAGGTTGAGATTAAAGGTATGCTTCACATGCCTTGTGTGTGTCTGTGTGTCTGTGTGTCTTTCTGTCTGTGAACCACATGCAGGCGGTACTCACAGAAGCCAGGAGAGGGTTGGGTTCCCTCTGGAAGTGGAGTTATACAGGCAGCTGTAAGCCACTGTGTGACACTCTCCTAAGTACGGAGGTTTCTCTCCAGCCCCGACTGCTTGTATTGTTTTTTTAAGATTTATTGTTATTTTCACTTATATGTATGTGTGTTCTGTGACTTTGTGAGTGAATGCCACTTGTATAGGCGTGCCTGAGAGGGCCAGAAGAAGAATCAGATCCTCTGGAACTAGACTGGTATGGGCCCTGGCAAGCCAACTCTGGTCCTCTGCAAGAGCGGCAAGTGTTCTTAACCACTGAGCCATCTCTCCAGCTCCTCCAAACAAAACAAAACAAAAAGTATGCTTATTAAAGTTTCCCTTGTGTCTGGCTTCTCAGGCTTGGTGGAGTCAGGTTACACTGGCGCTGTGGTATCTGCTGGGCACATTTCTTTATTTTGACCTCACTGGAAATCATAGTCCTTGCACAGATCTTGTTCCAAATTTAGGCTCTGAAGCTGCTTTCACCTCTTGGTAGCCATGACCAGAGTTGCCCTGGCAGACATGTAAGGATCTGTCTGAGACTGTCTTTGCTTCTGTTGGGATGTCTCTAGGACTACAGTTGGTAATCTTTTAGGTTAAGAGTAATTGCTAATTCTTTTAGCTCCCCTCCCCCCTTTTATGGTGCTGGGGACAGAACCTAGCTAGGGCCTTGAGATTGATAGCCTTATATTTTATCACTGAGATGCACCTTCAACCTTTAAGTTTATGCTTCTTTCAAAAACTGATTTGCGTTTGTGTATATGTATCTGCATGAGTTTAGATGAACCACCCTGCCAGGAGAGCTTGCCAATCCCCGAGACCTGGAATTACATACAGTTGGTTGTGAGCTGACGGAGTTGGGAACCAAACCCCAAGTCCTCTGGAAGTGCTCTTGGCCACTGAGCCTTCTGTCCAACTCCAAATATTTAACACCTTGAAGAATTGTCAACCCAGAGTTTCTTTTAGGCATCTGATTGTCTTGGTTTCTTTCTTTCTCTGACCGGTTCTCCTCGCAGGCATCACCATTGCCTACAAAGTACTGGAAGTTTATCCCCAAAGCCAGCGAGTGCTTATAACCTGCGACGCCCCCGAGGCACCCCGGCCCATCACATACTCTCTCCTGGCTAGCCGAGGTGTCCTGGTGACAAAAAAGGTTGTGCATGACTCCACGCCGGCCTCCTTCAACGTCAACATCACGATGAAGTCCAACCCGGACCTGCTCACCTACTCCTGCCAGGCAGCCTCGAACTTGGGCACCTACGGGCCCAGCAGCAGGCTGCAGATGTACCAGGAACTGTGGGCTAGTGAGTACAGCGGATGTGGGTTGCTGAGGCCAGCGGGATGCAGACCAATGGAGGGCCTGGGGAAGGGGGAGATTAGAGGACACAGAGGAAGAGGCCAAAGTAGAGTGGGGACAGGGACAGACTGCTTTGCCTTCAAGGCTCTACTCAATCCATGTTGACTGAGGACACAGTCAGCAGGCAGGAGCCAGAAGGCACAGTGGGGCCTGCTATGGGGCTGATAATCAAAGGGTAACTGTTAGTTACCTCACCCACCCCCACCAGAGAAGGCCAGCTTCTCCACTGCCACTGTGCAGAGTGAAGTTCTCAGAGGCTGAGGGGCTGGCTTAGACAACCTGCAAGCGGCCACATCTGGTTTCATTCCCACTCCAGACCTTTCTTTCTTCCCTTTCCAGCACAAAGGCCATGTCCTTGTTAATAGGAACAAGGAAGTCTTGCTAGCCTCCGTGAGCGAGCATCCCTAGCCCTTAAAAACACCACAGTGCACTGGTGGGCACACCTTTAATCTCAGCGTTTGGGAGGCAGAGGCAGGTGGATTTCTGAGTTCAAAGCCAGGTTGGTCTGCAGAGCAAGTTCCAGGACAGCCAGGGCTACACAGGGAAACCCTGTCTTGAAAACCAAAACCAACCCCCACTCAAAAAAAAAAGAGGTCCCATAGGGCCTGAAGCCCAGCAGGCGGGAGGCTGGGGTGTCTTCTGAGCTGGCTGTGGAGTTGTGAACAAGTCTCTCAACATCTGGGCCTCAATTGCTTTGCCTGTGAAACAAAATGATAACAGAGCCACCCCGGAGGGTTTAAGGGCTTGAGAGAGGTTGTGTTGTGACCTAATGAGGCTGAAACCAGGCATGGAACAGGTAGCTACTGGTCAGCAGGGATGCTCAGAGCATCTGACTGGTCGGTAGGGGATGCTTAGAGCGTCTAACTAGTCAGTAGAGATTCTCAGAGCGTCTGACTGAATACTCCAGCACTGGATTGTCCTTGTCCTGAAGGAGTTTGTCTTAGACAGAGATAACCCTGCCTTCCTGTACCATAGCTCTCACCTTTAATCCCTGAGCCAGAGGCTGTCAGTCCAGGGGAGTGTCCTATCACTGAACTACGTCCCTAGCCTAGCTTAAAGATTTATTGTCTTTTTTATATGCATGAGTGTTTTGCCTGCACGTCTGTGCACCACATGTGTGCAGTGCCACAGATGATGCCATCAGAGGCCCCAGAACTGGAGTCACAGGTCATTGTGAGCTGCCATGTGGATTCTGAGAACCAAATTGGGGTCCTTGGAGAATGTAGCTTTGCTGTGTTTTGTTTTTCAAAGGGAGGGTTTCTCGGTGTAGCTCTGGCTGTCCTGGAACTTACTATATAGACCAGGCTGGCCTTGAACTCAGAAATCCGCTTGCCTCTGCCTCCCAGTTAAAGGCATGTGACATAACTGCCCTGTCTGTTTATTTATTTAGAATTATGTGTGGTATGAACAGGTGTCTTTGAGGGCCAGAGACGTAAGATTTCCAGGAGTTAGGGTTGCAGGTGGCTGTGAGCCACTTGACACTGGGAATCTAAGTTGGTCCTCTGCAGAAGCAGTAAGCTCTCAATGGCTGAGCCATCTCTCCAGACCCCGGGTTTTCTTGTTTGTTATATTTTCTGCTCCAGATTCTTGAGAGCTAGGATTTCAGGCATGTGCTGTCCTGTCTGGCCAGCACTTGTCCTGTTTAGGAACTTAAATTGTAAGCAGACACTTAGGAAACCTGACTGTCCTCCCTACCTTCTCAGATAAACTGCTTGGTGTTAGCTCGGCGATGTGGGGCTTAGCCCTTGGGACTCCATTTTTTTTTTTTTTAGCATGGTTCCCACAGGATCCTAGTCCAATACAATTTAAAAATTACCTAACAACGTCAAGCAGTGTGGTGGTGCATGTCTTTAATCCCAGCATTTGGGAGGCAGAAGCAGGCAGATCTCTGTGATCAAGTCCAGCCTGATCTACAGAGTGAGTTCCAGGATAGCCAGAGCTATGTAGAGAGACCCTGTTTCAAAAACAACAATGACAGAAAAAGACTTTCTTTAAAGTACACATTAAAGATAAAATTGCATAATATATATATATATTACAAGCAGTCTAGAAGCCTAGACTTTCGATGCAGAGGGCACTCTGGCTGCGGGGCAGGAGGAAGGTAGCAGTCACATTACATTGCTGGGTTCACCTGATATATCAGGAGGAGAATTGTTTGGGGATGTGAAAAGCTTCTCCCCCATACCTATGCTACCCTCTTCCACCTTGTCAGAGCCAGTGTCTCAGCTGCAGGCTGACTTCATCCTACGTGATGGGGACTCAGGCCCCACTGTGGAGCTGTCCTGCCTGGCATCCTCAGGCAGCCCCCCCATCACCTACCGCTTGGTGGGGAATGATGGGCGTGTGCTCGCACAGCAAAGGCCGCTCCACGGAAAACCTGCCAACTTCTCCCTCCCGCTGTCCCAGACCTCCGGCTGGTTCCAGTGCGAGGCTGAAAACAACGTCAGTGTGGACAGCAGTGCCCGCATCCCGCTGCCCCGAGGTGAGCAGGTCCTTCTGGGCCTGGAGCAGGGAGCTATGAGGTGGCTGGGGCTGCCCACTGCACAGGGCAGGACAGGCCTAAGGGTTGCTGTATGGCTCTGTTACTCCTTTATAGCAGAGACCGGTCCAGGCTGGTGTCCACCCCCCCAGGGGAGCTGCCCCTCACATCCACCTGTATTCTGGCTGGCAGAGGCCCAATCCAGGCTGGTGTCCACCCCCCCCCCCCAGGGGAGCTGCCCCTCACACCCACCTGTATTCTGGCTGGC